TACAAAAATGAAAAATGTATGTGGTCCGTATGGGGCTCGAACCCATGACCTTAGCGTTATTAGCACCACGCTCTGCCGACTGAGCTAACGGACCAGCTATTTACTGCCGTCAAAGATTTAGAGATAAACTGAGTCATTTACTCGGTCATCTATTTGCAAAGCTCTTTGATGCATAATCTGGTTTAAAGTTGAGACGCAGTTTAGTCTTCAAATTTCATATGTGCCAAATCTAATGAAAATAAACTCAGAAAAKAGGTTTTGCTTCCACCCGGTCCTTTACTCATGTTCAGAATGACTAATAACCCTTCCTTGTTGACAAGCCACTTGTAAACAAGCCACTGATCCTGAAGTAATTAAATATGGACTAACGACAAGTTTTAGTTAATTTCCATCATTTCATTTCGTATTCTGTAATCGCCGCTAATTGGTGCAACAAAGAAGATTTATAGTTGCTTACAGCATTCGCTGTGCAAAAGTCTGTGCAAAATGTAATGTAATAGGGTTGCGCGAGAATTTGCACAAATTTGCTTACATATTACTAAAAGAAAAGCATCTTATGAAGAACATAAAATTCAAATTTAATCTGGTCCGTATGGTGCTCGAACCCATGACCTTAGCGTTATTAGCACCAGGCTCTGCCGTCTGAGCTAACGGACCAACTCACAACTTAATACACTTTAGTTTTTGAACCAATTTGCTTCCATTATTAAAAGAAACACGAAGTTTTACAAAAATGAAAGATGTATCTGGTCCGTATGGGGCTCGAACCCATGACCTTAGCGTTATTAGCACCACGCTCTTCCGACTGAGCTAACGGACCAATCGTTGTAAAGTAACTAGCCCTAAGTTCCTTCATTTACTTCGATTTGCCAAGTGATTCATAGTCTTTGAAATTCAAAGTTTTGGCTGTGTTTTTCACAAATGGTAGAGTATTAACACGTGGATTTTGGTGCGAGAATGCTGCGTTCTAAGTTTAATAAATATTTTTCTCATTGCCTTCGTTGTTTACTCAGAAAGGAGAAAACTACTACTTAATGCAAAAAATTCCATGTTTTTACGCCTAAAATAATACGTACAAAATTCGTTTTACAGCTTGCAACGCAAGCGTGATTTTTAGTGTCCTTATTAGCGATTTGTTTTGAAATTGAACTGATTGGAAGACTGTACAAACAGCCTCCATTCTGCAAATTGTGGGGCAATAGTGTGGCGCGCACATTTGGACAGATTTGCTTCCCTCATTACTAAAAAAAACATGAAGTTTAGTGCAAAAATGTAAAGTATATCTGGTCCATATGGGGCTCGAACCCATGACCTTAGCGTTATTAGCACCACGCTCTGCCGACTGAGCTAACGGACCAACTTATAACATAAATATATACAGTAGTTACTGGATTTAGTTTGATTTGAATAATAATGGTAAAAATTAAATTCAATGTTTTAAAGGGCACCCCTTACCTTTGTCATGATAGTTTCTCATTTCAAAAGAAATGATAATCAAGGAAAACCAACTGCTCAAAAAGTTAGAGTCCAATAATATTTCTTTGTTGTCGTCAGATTACCGGTAAGCTTAGCATGGCCAGATCTTCGTTGTCTAGTCTAATGGATGAGTGTAAGGACAAGATGTTGCGTGACCCCAAAAACTACAAAAAAGACAAGAACGGAAAAGTTGTCCCCAACACTAAGATCGTCGATTCTTTCTGTCCCAACCAATGTTCTGGCAGAGGTCGATGTGTTCGAAATAAGTGCAAATGTAGAGGCAAGTGGACTGCATCTGACTGCAGTATTTCCAAGACCAAACCACCTAAGCTTGATGGTATTCAGTCCAAGGGACTATGTGATATTCGCAACAGGGTTTGTCACTTCAACAGTGTCTATGGATTTGGATTCTATGATCTTGGTCTTCGCTGTCATATGAAGAAGTTCCGAGTAAGTAAACATTTATTTTCATTTAATAGACCATTTTCTCAAGATTTAAGGAATTCATCCAGATTCAAGGAATTATCGGGTCACAACACCAGAACAGGAGCTTATAATGAGTATTATCATACATTCCTATGTTGTTTTTTTTTCGATAAGAATTCATTAAATTGATTATTCTCCTCTTTAAATATAAAACTGTCTTCTCAATATTACTGAATTTGCGTTTTTCATTTTTGTGGCCCATCCAGTTGGATGCGCACGCAACCTTGAGAAAACGGTCTATTTAAAGTTTTCACTTGAACCTTTCAAGTAATATAGTTTTCAAAATATTCTCATTTTTCTCTAATTTGCCTCTCACTTTGGGAATGATAGCAAACCATCAGCTCTGCTGCCCTACTGGGATGTTGAGGCGCACCCCGTTTGAGCTATTAGTCATGCAATTGCTAATTATGTGCTTCACCTATTTTTTAAAATGTTTTCGGTCGGAGATCTGAAATCTGAAATCTGAGACCAAGTAAAATGCTGCAAAATGTAATACATCCAAAGTTAAACAAGGTAGTTTCATATATGATTGGAACATTCTTAGAATAACGCAGTGAACTTCGAGTTAGAAATGTGATTTTCCGTATTTTAGTCAGAAAACATAAAAGGACAATCGCCTAATTCAGATCTTCGACCGACCACGTTTTTTGAAATAGGTGATATCTTACCTCTATTTTATGCATTTTAAAGCTTATTGGCAAGAAGTGGCGCAGGGTTAGTTCTTATGTCAAAAGACGAGGACACATCCAGAATTTCAGGGAGGTTCGATGTACAATCCCAATAAAGATTCGACGTAGGAAAGTGCGTGGTCTACCAATACGATTCCTGATCGCAGTATCCAACAATGGCTTCTTAACCAGTAACACAAAGACACTAACGATCTATGATTCAGCCTGTCACCTATGCCAATCAAACGGGCGTTGCTATGCAAAGGTAAGGGCGTGAATACACCTTTCCCGAATCAGCTTGTATGACCACAAAACGATGGTGTGATTGAGCTTTAACCATTGTTTAGTCATCCGTCGAGCGAATTCGGCAAAGCTCTATTGAATTTGGGTTTCCGTAAGATATGACGTCATATGCAAGCAGCCGATGCGAGGTTGAATAAGTGACGTGGCTGGCGGTCACCTAAAATTTGTTTGAACATAAGCTGCTTTGTAGCCTTGCTTTCAGGGTTTTATCTATATTGCGCATGCGTTAAGTTGAATTATTATCACCGGGCTTCCTGTGGAGTTTACTTAATCCCCGCGCTGCTTGACTCCATAATACACAGGACACCCGCTACTTACAATAAAACAAAGCAACATAGAGAATGGGCAAGAGAAGGGTTATTGAGAAAATACCCATTTAAAATGTTCATGTTACTTCATTTATCATAAAATATCGTTTTTAAAATTTTTGGTTTGTCTCTGTAATTTTGGCTAACTCTTAATTACGTTTCGATAGCGTAATAATTGTCAAATCAAAGGTATTTGTTACGCACCCAATGAGAGCAACTCCAAGGACAAGCGTCTCAAGTGTGTACCCGTTGTCAATAGATACTCATGGACAAGAGGTAATTATGTTAATGTTCATCGTTCGTTCTTTCGTTCGTTCGTTTTGTCTGTATGTCTGTCTGTCTTTAATTTACTAATCATTACAACCATGGTCTCTCCAATAAGGAGTATGAAGCAGTATGAAGCAGTAACGATGCTTTGAACCAAGAGAAACTTTTCATAAAACTAAAATACCCTTAACTATGAAATATTCCTTTTGAGTAAATGCTGTTCACAAAAATATGGAAGCATTTGCTTGTGACGATTCTAAAAATTTGTGTTTTGAGCCTTTATCTTTATTTTCTTTGCAGTTGGCTCTAAGCGTCGACCCTTGGGCATGAACAGTGGAAAGATTCCCAACAGAGCCATCACAGCTTCCACCACATGGAACAGATACCATGCACCATGGTTAGCAAGACTAAACAAGCACTACAAGCGTCCTTATGCTAATGCATGGTCTGCAAAAGTCAACAACAAAAACCAGTGGATTCAGGTGTATGTGGGTCGACCCAAGAAGGTTAATGGTATCGCTACACAGGGACGACGTGACGCTAATCAGTGGGTGGTGACTTATTATATTACTTACAGTATGGATGGTATTCACTATGTTCCCTACAAATGCAAAAAGGTAATGTGCAGCTCTTAATTTTATCGCTGCTCACTGACACGACCTCTGGGCTGATCTAAGTCAGGGAGCAGCCAACTTACAGATTGAAACGGGCTGAAACAACCTCTGGTTAGATCTAAGTTAGGGCACGAGTAATTAACAGATCGAAAAAGCCTCTGGGCTAATCTAGGTCACGGCAGGGCTAACGCACAGATCGAGCGATGAAACAGCCTTTGGGCTGATCAAAGTCAGGGTACAGCAACTCACAAATAGAAACGGAATTCAGCTTGTTACTTTTTGTTGAGGAAGGAAAACTCTCGAATAAAGGGAGAGACCTAGCAAACTCTGCTCACTAAAAATGCCGTGTCCAGGAATTGAACCCGAGACGCTAGAGGAGAGAGGCGAGTACAAACTAATAATCCGCCGTTGACTCTCCCATCTTGTGTAGTGACATGGCCACTGAGTTATGATCCCAATCTCTATTTCATCAAATTTGTCTGTTATAAATATTATTTAGATAAACATATGTCGAAAGCATTTCAATATTTTTGAAATAATGTATATATGGAAATCATTTTAATGTACTTTATTTGTTAGATATTCCGTGCCAACCGCAATCGTAATGGCGTCGTTCGACACAACCTCAGGCCTGCCATCATTGCTTCATATATCCGTGTACATCCAGTCAGATGGGCATCGCATATCTCCATGAGGCTTGAGCTGTATGGACACAGAATGGGTAAGCATATGGACATTGAAACAAGACCATATATTAGATAGAAAATAAAACAAATGAAAGTTCTCAAAAAATATGGAAATAAGTAATGAAGCTAGAAGTAAAAATAGATGAGTTATAGGAAAAATAGAGAATTAAGGAAAGGGAAAAAAGGAAAGGAAAGGACTATAAAATAAAAATAAATAAATAAAGAGAGAAAGGAAGGATGGCAAGGTATATAAAAAATATTTGTTTATCAATCTTTTATCTTTTTGTATGGCTTATAGCATCCTATAGACTACCACTTGGAGTTCAAGATAACAGAATCCCCCACAGTGCAATTCAATCCTCATCTCGATGGGATAATAACCATGGACCATTCAGAGGTCGTTTGTTCACTTGTATCGAAGGCCGTCTCACTGGAGCCTGGTCCTCCAAACCTAATAACAGAAAACAATGGCTACAAATCGACATCGGAACAACAGCTAACGTGGCTGGCATTGAAACGCAAGGCCGACAGGGCGTTAACCAATGGGTAACGAGCTATACTTTAGGAAGGAGTAACGATGGAATCACATTTAAGACCTACACTATGAGAAGAAGAGTCAAGGTACGTTGTGGAAACAAAAAGAATATGATTTATCAAGTTAGCAGGGACTACATATATAGAGAACTTTACAAATTTTGAAACCCTGCCTACCAAATCCCTGATCTGTCCCTTGCCACGGGAAATTTTATCCAGGATCTCGGTTTTCCTCCCTTTGTAAAAATCAACAAGTTAAATGAGAGTTGTACGTTGTAAATTTAGAATGTAATCGTAGTGCGTGTGGGGCGAACCTCAGGGACGACCCCTTAAAAATTATATGAGAAATACAAATTTCTAATGCATTTAACACGGAAATTTTTATTCAGGTGTTCCGTGGTAACAGAGACCAAAACACAGTGGTCAAACATGCTATCATCCCAGCAATACGCACGCGTTACGTCCGGATATATCCACAATCTTGGTACTCGCATATATCCATGAGAGTCGAGTTGTATGGAAAAAGATTAGGTAATTAGAAAGCGTTTAAGGTTTTTTTTGATTACACCAATAATGACAAGTAACATTTTCTCAGCTACGGCTCGTGAGTCGAATAAGAGGACATACCACATAAAACTGGAGGAAATTGGTTAAATGTCTATCGTGTGAAACTGGTCACTCGTTATATTTYCTTCTTTTGGGTTACTGACCTTCACGAGGCTCTTCCTGAAAACGAGAATGCACTTTGTCTTGGATAAAGTTATCCTATTAGCATTCTTATATAGAGACGAGAAGAAAGGACTTTATATTATATAAAGTCCTTGCACGTCACCTGTAAGTAAGGTCATTCTAATTAGACCTGATGGTTTTCGATAACATAAACCAAGGTATAAAGCTGGTTGGTTGGAATGAATATTTTTGTATTATTTTCGTTTAGTTCGTCGACCTAAAGCCAAGGCTCTTGGAATCGGAAAAAGGCGCGTACCAGACCGAGCGATCTCCGCATCAACTAGATGGAACAAATACCACGCTGCGCACCTTGCAAGACTTAACCTCAAACGACGTGGGCGCTATGTCGGAGGTTGGTCCGCGAGAAAGAATAACAAAAGGCAATGGATTCAAGTTGATCTTGGAAAACCTAAGAAAATAGTTAAAATTGCTACTCAAGGTCGACAAGATTCTCGCCAGTTTGTGACAAGGTACATCGTGAAGTCGAGCATCGATGGAGTGTACTGGGTTACATACAAGAAGAGAAGCGTGCCAAAGGTATTTTACCAATCATCGAGAATAATTATTGTGCCTGGATTAACTTACCTATTGGGCCTAGATTGCAAGAGGTGTATCGATTTGATCTAACGGTCACCAAATTGTTTGGACATTGCGGTTGAGTTGTCGTATTACATTGGAAATTTTACAAAACTGTCATGAAATAAAAAAAGAAAGATTTGGGATTAATCTCTGTCGTTACGTCGACAAAATAGCGGCTTTTCGTTTTGGAAATGATTTCAAAAAGAATGCACATTAGCGCCGATATGGCTGCTTAATGTTTAAATCTTTATACATTTTAAGTTTTTACATTTTGTTTATGTTTTTTCCGATTTTTAAACGTAATCACTAGTTCTTTGAGTYTTCTATTGTGTATAATTATGCTTATCTATGAAATCACTCTACAGCCACATAAATTATATCCTTTGCATTACATGAACTTTGCTGTTTTCTAATGACTCACCCCATTTGTTATTTAGGTGTTCATTGGTAATAGTGATCAATTCACCGTCAAAGAGAATGCATTTGATCCTAAGATTACAGCACGATACTTCCGCGTCTATCCAGTGGCCTGGGTAGGACATATTTCATTAAGATTTGAGTTGTATGGATATCCTGCATGTAAGTATTACAAGGAACCTTCCAAAAATATAATTTTATTGCACAACAAAARTAAGCGATATATTAGCAGGTCGTTTAAAAGCATCTTACAATGTCCTTATCAAGTGCACTTGAATGGAAATTAGAAGATAGATATAGAGGTCCAGAAAATTATTTGCATATGTATTTAACTAATTTTGATTTCAATGAATATTGATATTTATTTATTTCTAAAATATTTATATTTATGGAAGTTAGAAGATAAATATAAAGGTCCAGAAAATTATGTGCATATGTATTCACTAATTTTAATTTCAATGAATATTGACATTTATTTTTTTCAAAAAGATCATTATGAAAGGATGTCTCATTTAGCAGACCTAGGTAAATAGAGCTCTAATATTTGATAAATATTTAATACTAATAATTTGTAGCGAGGAAAAACGTTCCTCTTGGCGTCGAGGATGGATACGTGAAATGTCACCAGATGAAAGCATCTTCAAGTTGGGATAAATATCACAGTGCATGTCGTGGAAGACTCAACACCGTTAAACAAGGCCATCACCGTGGTGCTTGGTCACCTAGAACACGATATAGGCAATGGATCCAAGTCAGGTTGAGCCGCCCAACTGCTATTACCAAAATATTAACCCAAGGAAGACAGGATGCCAGGCAGTGGGTTAACAAATACTCCGTGACTTATAGCATTAATGGACGAAGATTCAGGACTTACAAAATAGGAGGAAAGAAAAGGGTAAGGTTGAACATGTTGTAAATGCATTTTTTAAATGTCTTCAACTTACACTGCTTCCCCTTCACACGAGGGAAATTTTACAATTGGTCGTTAGAGTTTTAGGGGACGTCAAACTGTCCAAACGCCCAAAAACCTGCTTTGTCGTGACGACGATTTCGTACATTCAATTCAGTAAATCTGTAAAAGGTAAAATAATTTTCCAAAATCATCTCGTGTTCTTGGTCTCACGGCTTTTGGCTTTCTACCTATGCTTGGTTAAAGCCACCTTAAAAATACACATAAAAACTAGTCACTCTTTGATAATTTAGACATGTGAGTACGCTACACAAGCATCAAGACCGGAATGCATTTTTAAATTTTTGACCATTTCAATCTTGATTGATCTCAATTTTAGATTTTCCGAGGCAACAACGACCAAAATAGCATCGTGCCAAATCCTCTGAGACCCGCAATATTTGCCAAGTACATCCGTCTGTATCCACTTCAATGGGTCGGCCACCCTTCCATGAGGCTTGGGCTGTATGGAAGGAGACCAGGTAAGAACGTTTCACACAACATATCGGTGAATCATCTACGCTAGTGTTTTGATATTAATTACTATACTACACGTATGACACTATTACTGTCACCCTATAACATCACCTGAGACCGGTAAAATAATTATAGAAAAATACAAAAACACATAACCTATAGAAACAACAAAAATACAATACCACTAACAATTACGTAGTATTTCAAACACGCGAGAGAGTTCTTCCTCCGATTTCCAAACACCGAAAAGTGTGTTGAAAAAACGAGGCGCAGCTGTTTGGAAATCGGAGGAAGAACTCTCTCAATTGTTTGAAATTACTTCTCAAACTAATGAATACTTCTTGGAGAAAATCAAAGAAAAAGTTTACGAAATTTAATGCAAATTAAGAACACATTTCCAAACCACCGTCACAGTAGTGATTTGCTTTGTTTTCTCCTCATTAAATATTCATGAGTTTGAGAAATATTTTTCCACCATACATTACTCGTACGTTACAACTTGTTTTTACGTTGAGGTTTGTTTTGTTGTGATATTTTATTATAGGATATCAAGTGCAGCGTCTTAGAGCACTAGGAATAGAAAAGAGACGCATACCAAATCAGCATTTGACAGCTTCTTCATCATGGGACAGAAACCATGGTCCCTCACGAGGAAGACTCAACACCAAGCGAAGAGGACACAGAGTAGGTGCTTGGTCTACCAAGCGAAACAACAAGTACCAGTGGTTCCAAGTGTACTTCCCAAAACCAAAGACCGTCACAGCAATCGGGACTCAGGGTCGACAGGATTTGAACCAATGGGTGACGAGGTTTTATGTGATGTACAGTATTGATGGAGTTAATTTTGTACCATACAAGAAATATGGGGCAACTAAAGTAAGTAACCATTTCAGAGTTTGTGCAACAATTCAGTTCGCAACTTGACAAGGGATAAACTAAATGCTGACCAATTTATAAGTACGACAAAAATACGACACTATTTAGTGCCTCCGCCTTTTGATATTTTTTATAGAATCAATTTAGAATCTTTTCCCACGCAAAGAACTTGGTTTTGCAATGCCGTGATTAATCAACCACTAAGCAAACATCTATCGAGTCTTGGATTCAGGCGAGATGTTTCTTAAAACAAACTAAGTAACGTAGGATGCAAATATTTCTTAGATATTTCATGAGATGATTCCATAGCATGCATTATTAAATGTACAAAAATATTCTAGGGCAGCAAAACATCATGAATAAAACATCATTGTCTTAATTAGGATTCATAGAAATGTTAATGCAAACTTGTTTTCTCATTCACCATTTTCCAAACATTGATTGACTGGTCAAAAACAAAGCGCTAAAGCGAGGCGCCAAGGTACTTTCAAAGGATTATTCAAATTTGAACCTTGCAACCCTCGACTGAGTGCTTTGTGTTTGATCAGTGAACCGATATATGGAAAATGGTGAATAGTAATCTTTTTTTCAATTTAAAAATAATGTCAAATAGACTCAAATGCCTCTTTTCGTTTGACATTACACTCATTCGCATTTAGAAAGTATAAGCCTCAATATGTCCAAGATGCATCACTCAAATCTTGTAGAAATACTTGAATATTCAGCTATTCACTTCATGTAGAATCAATACCGAAAATATTGAGTTTCACAAGGAAATTTGATAACCAAATGGTATCTTTTTTTAAAGGTGTTTAGGGCAAACAAGAACAGGAACTCTGTGGTTTACAATAAGTTCAACCCTCCAATCAAAGCCAATTTCATCCGTGTATACCCAACATCATGGAATAGTCATATCTCTATGAGAATCGAATTGTATGGATTCCCTGCATGTGAGTGTGAAAAGCTAAAAACTTTAATGTTATACGATTATTCAATCTAATATATATAGAGAGAGGTATCATCACGCGGGGGCTGCCATGATAGTAGGCATAATAATGAATTCAGTTTCCCAGGGRGAAAATACTCTACTGTTGTGCTTTTTGTTATGGCTGCCATCACGTGATATCACGCCTCTATAGAAGTTAAATAAATACTATGATATTTGTTACAATAACCCCCTCATGGGATATTAGCCGTCAACTTTTCAGGCGACTAGACTAATTTTGTTTTTTTGACAGTTTTTTTACCTTCAAAATTTTTAACTAGCTTCCCCATCAGTTTTGGCATTAGACTTCGTTTTCAATTTAGCTGTTGTTTTGAGTTGCAAAATGTAATATATTTTGTTTCTCCAGCTCAATCTCGCCTTGGTCTCGGTGTTGAAGATGGTCGTATACCTGATGGATATTTGACGGCTACTTCAATGTGGAACAGGGCTCACAGTCCACAACGAGCACGTCTTAACATTGCCAGAACTCGACACGGTGTAGGCGCTTGGAGTTCCCGTCATAACAAACGCAATCAATACATACAAATCGATATAGGTAGCCAAGCAAAGGTAGTTGCCATAGGCACGCAGGGACGTCAGGACGTAAATCAATGGGTGAAGAGTTTCAAGATATCGTCCAGCAAGGATGGAATTCGATATAGATTCTACCCTAAGGTACGGAGCTTATTAATATTCGACACTTTTGAGTTTTAGTCAAACCTGTCAGATCAACTGCTATCTTCCGTGACTAAGGATTACYATTTTTTTCCCTTCTTTAAACAAGATATGATCATATCAACATCTTATACAAGAGTTATCTGCAGAAATGCATGCCTTCGTATGACAAAGAGATGCATGTCATTTCACAAGGAAGAAAATTGCATAATATTGGAAGGAAATATTTTTCTTTTACCTGACTTTCATGAAACCCTCCTACATCTTGTTTGCACAAAACCTTTAGAGTCGTTCAGTTTGGTGTAACATATTTTTCCCATTTCYGAYCACGTGTAATTTTCTTTGGAATACGAATCTCGTTTGGTTCACATTCCATTCTTATGATATTCTATGGGCATGTGTCCTTGAAACCTTTATGTTTTCGGACAAAAGTCATGAAAATACTGTGGTATTTTATCTGATTGAAGCTTTTGCTTTAGTCTAGACAGAATAATTTTCACGAGTATAAAACTCAAAACAAGGAGAGCGAATGATAATATCTTGGTTTGGACCGTCTCCTTCCTCTAAATACACTCTTGCTCTATTAATTATCAGTTTTATGAATTAAAATGTGTATCATTTCTTTATATATGAACTTATAGGTATTCCGTGGAAACAGAGACCGTCACACTATTGTAATGAATCGCTTTGGTCGATCTTTGAGTGCGCGCTACGTCAGAGTCCATCCTGTCACTTGGCATTCTCATATCTCTATGAGATTGGAGCTGTACGGCTATCGATATGGTAAGGTTTGACTTAATACTTTAAAATGCGTTTAAACCTTCTCGTAAATAATATTAATATTATAATATATAATGTTTGCATTTGGTGCAATTTGTTTGTTTGCTTCTTCATCTTATCATCTATGGTTCGTTTTAGTTTGTTTATTTTCTTTTTTTTTTGACTATTTTTAATTGCTTTGTTTTGAAGGCCGTCGACCAATAAAAGCAAGGCCATCGGGCATTCAGTCCGGCAGGATTCCCAACAAGGCCTTCAGTGCTTCGACTATTTACAACAAATACAGCCCAGCCTGGCTTGCTCGTTTGAGGAACAAACCCCGAGGACGATACACAGGATGCTGGCTGCCACGTCACAAGAATGCGAGACAGTGGATCCAAGTTGATTTGAAGAAGTTTACCAGAATTGTGAAGATTGCAACTCAAGGAAGACCAAACGCTAATCAGTACGTAACAAGATTTGTTGTTGCATACAGCCAAGACCGAATCAGATGGCTAAGATACACCAAAAATGGACGAGTACAGGTAAAATGCACCTTCGACTTAAGATATCTTCTTAGACTATAAGGCACCTAGCTTAGTGTCAATTAATAAGAGCCCATTGAGTTTATTAGTAATTAGAGGCTGGATTCAAATAGGATCTTTGGGGTCTCACCAACAATCTTCACTGCTTCTATAGAAAACATACGGTACTGGCTTAAAGCACGTACGCGGTCATACGACTGACGTAATATATTAATTGAAAGGATTCCTATGTATTTTTGTAATTACGACTGAACTGCGGTAAGATACTGTAAGGGTACAATACGGCCAAGAATTTGCTTCATTTTATGTTTTTGAAATTTTGTTTTTTTWAATGTTTTTAAAGTTTATTATTTTGACTTTCATATTAATATTAATTSCAATCTCTGTTTTCCAAATAGATTTTCCATGGCAACAAAGATCCAAACACTATCAAGGAAAATTTCTTCTCGCCTGCAATAAGAGCCCGATATGTACGAGTCTATCCCAAGAAATGGGTCAACTATATTGCCCTCAGGCTTGAACTTTATGGCGCACCAATTGGTAAGTATAAGGGGCATCACAAAAAATGGGCAAGGCTTATCAGTTTGGATATCGGATCTAAAGTTTCGGCCAAAAAATTAAGTCATGGGGAATTTTCATGGGTAACAATATTTTGATGCCGACACATAAAAAAGAGTTACTTGAAATACTTTTCTCCGTCCATTATATTTACATGCCAATGAAGCATTGATATGGATATGATATGAAAATATAATCGACTAAAAAAAATATTCCCAGTAGATTGTTTGAATTGGGTAAATCATTGCGTTAGCTGAATAGGTCTTTTGGGATTTTGAAAAAAGATTCTTGTTGTCTGTAAGTAAAATGCACGATTTTGCGGAATCCCTACTTCTAAGAGAAACTTTGTTAGATAGCATGAAAGAGAATGTGTTTTCTTGCAAGCAAAGTGGAGATCGCTGAACGTGAAGGGATACAGAAAAGATAGTTTAAGGGACATGTAGAAGGGGGAAACATGAACGCTTTGTTATATTGACTCACGCCTTCTTTTATTTGGACCAGCTATTAATAAGGTACCTATTGGTGTTGCTGATGGCAAGATTCCTAATGGTTACATCACTGCTTCGTCCATCTGGGATCGAAACCACGCTGCTTGGAGAGCAAGACTGTACACTGTAGTAAGTCGAGAGCTGCTACTTTACTCAATATTTGTATAGGTCAAAGGCCCGTTTGCTTAAAAAGCTCAAAAACTGATAACATAAAAAATCTTTTAAACAAACAAAATCTGGTCTAATCCATAGGTAGCCCAATTTGGGTTCATGAAGATCATTTTTCTCGTTTTTTTTTTTTTTTTTTTTTTTTTTCTCTTTCACTTTCGTCTTGAAAACGGGCTTTTGTGGTTCAATCAAATTTAAATCCYCATGTCTGCTCTGTCAAAACGAAAAGATTTAGATTTTTTCATCTCACTGACACCATATAATGTTGCAGTCCGCAAAAGTCTGTATATGTGCTTACTATATATTGTCTTTTATTTTCAGCGAAAAGGCCATTTGATTGGTGGATGGTCTTCCAGGCGAAATGCACGTGGACAATGGCTCCAGTTTAACTTTGGAGGATACACTACTCTTACTAAAATCCTGACACAAGGAAGGCAAGACATGGATCAGTGGGTTACTACCTATACCGTTGCATACAGTAAAAATGGCTATGGCTTCAAATCTTTCAAGGCGTTTGGACGAACAAAGGTTTGCGATTCATTTGACTACAATATTAATAATAATAATAATAATAATAATAATAATAATAATAGTAATAATAACTATTATTATCATTACTATTCTAAAAGGTTCATGTGGATAAAAGAAATTCTACCCTCATCAATGCGTTTCCAAATTAGGGAGACGAGTTGTTTGACGGTTTTTTCTTCTCAAAGCTTTTCCCCTTATCATTCTAAAACACAACAGATACAACCCTGCCGAAATTACTTGGCCCGATATTATCACTTCACACGAAAATAAATATTTCCGATAGAATTTGTATGGATAAAAATTATCCCTCCTCCCATACCAATGTTGCAGTTGTGAAAATGAAAGGAATTTCATGGTCCTTTCACATGCGCCGATAACACTAAGTCAGAACACGACATTGAAGAGGGGAGAGCTTTGGTTTAAATGTTGTGTGACAATTACAAGTTGTCAGAAAAAAAGGATAATAATGGTGTCAAAAATTTTGGCAACGATTGTAGCTTACCCTAGTCACTGACATATTTCACATAATCTTATGTTTATCATTTTTATGCAAAATAACTAAACGTCATTGTTTTGCTTGTTATCTTCTTTTAGATCTTCATTGGAAATACGGATAGGAACACCGTTGTCGGCCACTATCTACGGCCACATGTCCGTTGCAGATACTTTAGAATATATCCCAAAACGTGGTACAAACATATGTCTATGAGAGTTGGGTTCTATGGCCGCCGAACAGGTGGGTGTTTATTCCGTATCTAAAGTTCCTTACGTTTCGTTGTTTATGTCATTTTCATACTAGCGGCATAGGTGGCAACTTTGGGTACAACAAATAAAAGAGCGCCGAAACAAGGCTTACGATTACGCTTGCATTTTTTTGGTGCATACTAGATCGTAAACTTCTTGCGCTTCCAATTCTGTTTCGATTCCGACTTCGTCTCTTACTGTACGACGCTAGTGTGAAGCAGCCTTATGGCCTTGCAAGCCGTAACGAAGACATATTCCTTTTCATTAGGACATTAGTTTTTAGAATATCGCGAACAGTGCGGTGGGGCCTTTTTTAAGCTTTGACGATGTGTGGCCTCAGAATTCAAAGCTTTTGTGATAATAAAATTTCTTTATAAAAACATTTCATTGTTTTTTATAAAACTTCAGGAGTCATTCGCCCGAGCTTGCGTGCGCTTGGAATTGAACGTGGTCGAATCCGCAACAAGCAAATGACTGCTTCTTCTAGCTGGAATCATTACCATGGACCATTTTTGGCCAGACTAAACAGGCGTGCACGAGGAAGATACCAAGGTAGCTGGTCAGCAAGACACAACAACAAATATCAGTACTTACAGGTAAACACGTCCAACAGATTATAGGTTAAACTTCGGTTAGGCAATAATCTTGCAAATAAGGAATGGTGAATGAGACACTGAAATTAAAAGTAGATCATACATTAGAGACTACAACTAGTAAGTTATATGGGGAAAAATCTGAGTGCTGTGAAAAAACACCGTAGCATATAATAAGGTGCGGGGAAATAATAAACTAGTTTATTCTGTCATTTTTGGTGACGCAATGTAAGCCTAATCTTTTTTCCTTGTTTTAGGTAACATTCCGTCGACCAAAGAATATCGTTGCCATAGCAACCCAAGGGCGTCAGAATGCCGACCAATGGGTGACCAAATACTACCTCACATACAGTCTTGATGGATTACACTATGTAACTTATAAGTCAAGAGGAGCTGTGAAGGTAAGGCCTGAATTCGAAGGTGGATGTTATTATATGCCGGTACATCTGAACATTTGAATTAGTGGCAGGGGTAACTMAAGTCAAGGGTAGTGACGCTTGCATAAAATAAGATTAGGCATGGACATTTGAATCACCAGAAGAAGAGTCTTTAGTTCAAGGTCGTTTTCTGAAACTTGGAAGTAGCTCTTAAAAAATTCAAAATTTTAACTTAGTTGCACATGTAAAAAGTAGGAATGGATTTCCTTTAGTAAAGCTAGAGCGGGACATATTAGGTTCGACATTTATCTTTATGTTCTCGTATAATAAATTCCAACAAGTTTGAAAGGGCTCGTAATGTTTGACATGTTATGTTTCTTACAGGTATTCCGTGGAAACAGGAACCGCAATGGAATAGTTCGACACATTCTAAGACGAAGCATCAACGCAAGAAGCATTCGCATTCATCCAATCAGCTGGAGATCGCATATTTCCATGAGAATCGAGCTATATGGACGAAATGCTGGTATGCGTAAATACATATGCATGAGTGATTGAAAATATAGTACTGTTAAATATATTATTTCATAGTCGCCATTGGTGATTGGTTAACGACGGCGTTTTTTTACTTGGTCAAGTTTTTCCAATATGGAGAGCTCAATTCTTTATTAACTTTTTTTGTAAATTAGATAACGTAATTTACACTAGACCTAGAGACTACAGCTAGTACGTTATATGGGGGAAAAGCTGTATAGAGACGAAAAATATCTTACATAATATCTCATAGGACGAAAAATTAAATTTTAAAATTTAAAAATCAATTAGAAGTAGAAGAAGTTACAGTTCCTGAATCTGACACAATTTTTACAAGTACATGTTTGCGTCTCGTTCAAAAAAACAATTATAAGAAGTCATTAGTAATACGTCATCAAGGCAATTAGGGTTCAAAATACTTAAATGATGCCATGGCCACAAATCCGATACCGTGATTGCTAATAGAATCTGTATTTTACAGTCTCAAGATCTCTTGCACTTGGGGTAGAAGATGGCCGTATTACTGACTCGTCATTAAGTGCCTCGTCCATCTGGGACATTAACCACAGAGCAGCAAACGCGAGACTCAACTTTGTTCGACGTGGACGCAGAACTGGGGCGTGGTCTTCTAGACACAACAAATACGGTCAGTGGCTGCAAATTGATATTGGAAGCATGGCTATCGTGACTGGTATTGCTACCCAGGGACGACAAGATGCTAATCAATGGGTGACAAGATATCGACTGAAGTACAGCAAAGATGGGCAAAGATTCCCGTTCTACGGAGCAGGCAGAAGTATTTATGTAAGTAAAAGATTCTTGTCTTAGATGGTACTCGATAACAACAACAAAAATTGAATAGTGCAGAGCAATGAGAAACAACAATAAAAGGAAAAGCAAAAGTGTAAAACAAGCGATGGAAAAAAAGAAAAACAATCTGATTAAACCTATTACCTATAAGAAAAGCCTGACTGATTTTCTTTTCTTTTTCCCTATTTYTATTTCTTATTTTCCAGACTTTCCGTGGCAACACTGACAGAAATACCATTATTTTCCACCGTCTAAGACAAATCTCCGCTCGTTTTGTCCGTGTCTACCCACAGTCCTGGCATAGTCATATGTCTATGCGAGTTGAACTTTATGGTCGCCGATACCGTAARTAACGTAACATTCAAAATATTCTGAATTTGGGCAATGAAACAATGGCCTTTTTATGGTAATATTTTACTGACCATTTATATATTCATTTTGTAGGCCCAACACGCTTCCCTGTCGCATGTGGTATTTCCAACAAACGTCTACCCAACAAATACATCACAGCATCAAGTCAGTGGAACAGACACTACGCCCCATGGCTCGCTCGTCTACATCTTCAGCGCAAAGGAAAGTACATGGGTGGATGGTCTGCCAGGAGAAACAGACGAGGAGAATGGATTCAATTTGACTTGAGAAGGTTTAAAAAGATCTACAAGATTGCCACCCAAGGTCGTAGCCACGCCAACCAGTTCGTCAAGAGTTATATTGTCAAGTACAGTTTGGATGGACGACGCTGGGTGCCCTACAAAGTGAACAGTGTGGTTAAGGTATTATGTCAGTTATCATATTCTCTAGAGTTATAACTAGTTATAGCTAATTCAATTTTTTTCATTAATTATCTTATGTAACTCTAATTCATAATAAGGTACTTCCTGGTAACAGAGATCATAATACAGTTAAAGAAAACTTGCTTGAACCTCCGATCATCGCGCGCTTTGTTCGTATATACCCATGGACTTGGTTTGGACACATCTCACTAAGGGCTGAGTTTTATGCTGTGAATCAACGTAAGTTTATGTTTACAAAAGATAGAACTTCCTTTTTTTTTCAAATTTTTTATTTAACTTATATTTCTCATGCAGTGCACAATGCACTATTTAATACAATCAAGGTTTTATGACAGCAACCTAACTGAAATACAAAACGACGTTTCTGTACATTTCTTTGTTTCAGGAAACAATAAAATCCCACTAGGTTTGGAAGATCGCACGATTCCCAACTATGCCATCAGAGCCTCCTCACAGTGGGATGGTAACCATGCACCATATCTTGCTCGTCTTAACAACATTAGACGCGGAAGGAAGGTTGGTGGATGGTCTTCCAGAAAGAACCAACGAGGACAATGGATTCAGGTTACTTTTGGAAGAAGTACAAGCATCACAGGCATTCGTACTCAAGGTCGTCAAGATGCGAACCAGTGGGTCAAGACATACACTGTGGCTTACAGCAACAATGGAAAGAGCTTCAGAACGTACAGAGTTCGTGGACGTGTCAGGGTRAACATTGTCATAAATTTGATCCTGCTGTTGTTTTTTTAGTTGGTTTAAGTTTAATTTCTAAATTTATTCTTTCACTTTGGGTTTCCTTTCCTAGATCTTCCTAGGAAATAGTGACCGAAACACCGTTGTGACCCGTCAATTTAGACCGGCAATACGAGCACGTTACGTCAGAATCTATCCAAAGACCTGGCATGCTCATATGTCAATGAGAATTGAGCTCTATGGAAGGCGAACACGTAAGATATCAGTAATTCGAAATTGTATATTTTTAAGCCATACATTAGTTTTGATTAGTTTTAATTAGTCAGTCTTACAATCGTATTCATTGTTTTGTCTACAACAGGAGGAATCATTAAACCTCCGCGCAGACTGAAAGCACTCGGAATGCAGAGCGGACGCATCCGTAACAACCAGATCCGTGCATCCTCAAACTGGGACCGTAACCATGGTGCCTTCTTGGGTAGACTCAACAGACGTGCACGAGGAAGATATCAAGGTGGTTGGTCAGCAAGATACAACAACCGTAACCAGTTTATACAGGTAGACTCCCTTATCAGTGAAAGCCACTAGTTGGATGCAAAGCAATTGAAATAATTGCAAATTAGGTTGAGTGCTAAACATTTTTTACACAACCATTTTCTTTTACTTAAAGGTGAAATTCCGTCGCCCAAAAACTATAACAGCGGTTGCAACGCAAGGTCGACAGAACGCCAACCAATGGGTAACAGGCTACTACATCACTTACAGTCTGGACAATCTACACTATACACCATTTGTATCACGTGGTCGTGTGAAGGTATATGCATACATATGTAATTATGTTTTTAAATGACTGCAATTCAGATTTGCTTCTTTAGGCTTGAAGCATATTTTCTTTGTAAGCAGCAGAACCTGTCTTTCTAAATCTTTTACACTATTTCCCCTTCGTTCAGTTCTCTGAATAAACCGTTCTATCTTTTCTTTAGATATTCACTGCCAACCGTGATCGTAACACAGTTGTTCTTCGAAGACTACAACCAGCCATCAGAGCTCTGAGTGTTCGTATCCACCCCGTCAGCTGGAAATCACATATTTCCATGAGACTCGAGCTGTACGGAAGGAACTCTGGTTAGTAGACTCCGCACGTGCACAAAATTAAAGAACGTCTCAGAAAGAGATTTTCTAGGGTCTTTAAAACATCACAGGGAATTGAAGCTGATAGAAAATATTTTTTCCAGTTATATATCACTTGCCTCTTGGCGTTGAAGACCGTCGTATTCCAGAACGCGCTTTCAGTTCATCTTCAAACTGGGACAACAACCACAGAGCTTCAAACGTAAGACTCAACTCTGTTCGACGAGGACGTAGAACAGGAGCGTGGTCTGCTAGACACAATCGACGTGGACAGTGGCTTCAAGTTGATATTGGAAGTCTTGCCCAAGTTACCGGTATTGCTACCCAAGGACGACAAGACGCAAATCAATGGGTGAAAAGCTACTACGTGACGTATAGTACAAATGGAAAACGATTTGTACCTTACAGGCATGGAAGACGAACAGTGGTAAGCAAAACATATAGATTTTTTGTACTTCTTCGTGAATTTGATTATCTGTTCTACTGAAACGAAAGAAGCAAGTAAGGAACCGAAAGCGTATTATCTAAGTTATTAGAAATTGATAACCTGACCTTTAATCTATTAGGCATTCCATGGTAACCGTGACAGAAACTCCATAGTATACAACAGATTTGTTCGTCCTCTGAGAGCACGTTTTGTACGTGTTTACCCAAAGAGCTGGCATAGTCATATTTCTATGAGGTTGGAACTTTACGGAAGACGATATGGTAAGCATGAAACACGTAATTTTCACGAAAGTCTCGCGAGTTTACTACATGGAAACAAATAAACTAAGAGTCAGACAAGAGACTTGAAAGGCAAATCTATCTCTGTATTGACAAAATCTGATCGCCAGCTTGAAAAGTGGACTGTGCTAATGACGCATTTAGTTTACAGGCACTGTTTCAAATTCATCATAATTTACGTTAATTTTAAATGCTTTTGGGATAGCATGTATCCCAATCAACGTAGTCCAGCCACAAGAATTTGTCTAAATTTCTAAAAATAAATAACATAAAATGATCGGAAAACGCTTTTTGAAAAGCAAATGTGCAAACTATAACATTGAACATGTTTAATCAGAAAGCTTTAAATTGTTGTGATTGTCATTATTGATTAATGAACAACTTTGACCATTTTACTGCCAAAATGATAGGTCGTCGTCCCATACCTATCCCAAGTGGTATTTCCAATGGCCGTCTGCCCAACAGATACATCACAGCATCCAGTCAATGGGACAAAAACCACGCCCCATGGCTTGCTCGTCTGCATCGTAAACGACGTGGACGTCAAGTTGGAGGATGGTCAGCTCGTACAAATAATAAGAGACAATGGATCCAGTATAATTTGAGATCACCAAAGAATATTTACAAGGTTGTAACTCAAGGAAGAAGCGATGCAAACCAGTGGGTGACAAGTTTTGCGATTGTGTACAGTCAAGATGGAAGACGATGGGTGTCATACAAAAAGCACAGTGTGGTTAAGGTACTAATGATTATTCCTCACAAAATAACACATTACTAATATTTAGATAGATTTCAAAGCCAAAATTATTAACATCAACATTTAACAACAGTTGTTCCCCGGAAATCGTGACAGAAGTTCACTAAGAGAAAATCTSTTCAGTCCTCCAATCACGGCTCAGTATGTACGAATCTATCCAAGAACGTGGCACGGACACATCTCCCTCAGAGCCGAATTCTACGTTACCCCAGCACGTAAGTAATTGTTACGCTTTCAGAGAGGAAGTGTTTTTGCATTGCCCTGGTAAAAAATGAATTGCTTTTCATTTTGGGTAAAAAGTAGTGATTGTTTCTTTCTCTCAAATGTATATACATAATTCGTAGGTCGTTCGGAGATACCCATGGGCGTGGAGGACGGTAAGGTACCTTCCACGGCCATCACAGCTTCATCACAATGGAACAGTAATCATGGACCTTCGAGAGCTCGAATCAATACTATTCGCCGCGGAAGCAAGACTGGAGCATGGTCTGCTAAAAAGAACAATAGACGACAGTGGATCCAAGTTGACTTTGGAAAACCAACCATCATCAGTAAGATTCTTACTCAAGGTCGTCAAGATGCGAACCAGTGGGTCAAGACATACACTGTATCGTACAGCAATAATGGAAGACGCTTCACGTCCTACAGAGTAAGAGGAAGAGTTAGGGTAAGTTTTTCCTCTGCACTGTATTAAGTGTCCGATTTATAATGAGTTAGGGGATTTTGTCAAAGGGGATAATTAACTGAACCAGTTTAAGACTGGAAAAGTGGGGATACCCCAAGCAACTATCTTTGAACGTGCAATCTAGGACTCTTTTGATAACTACTTTTTAATAAGTTATATAGTTACTCGTCCTGCCCTCGATAGGTTTTAGATAATTTTCAATACGCCAGCTTCAGTAATAAGCATGTTTCCAAACTTAATTCTTCATACACAAACACACAAATATTTATGTTTATAAAAATAAATTGCTTGTTATGCCTTCAGATGTTCGTGGGCAACACAGACAGAAACACTGTTGTTATCCGTTCCTTAAGGCCTTACATTCGGGCTCGAGTCATCAGAATCCATCCACGAACCTGGAATGCACACATCTCTATGAGAATAGGATTCAGAGGAAAACGATTAGGTAAGAATGCTCACCAGTCTATTCGAATATCAACTCAGGGGCGTGATCTGTTATAATTGCTTATCTTTCTGACTAAAGGTTTTAATTATTCTTATTATCCCCCCTCCCAACATTGAAATGAGTGTTATATAGTCCCCTTGCCCTACATCTCAACCTGGGAGTCAAAGCAATGAAAAATGAAAAAAATGAAAAAGATTTCAATCCTCAAGGGAAGAGAGATCTAATGTTTTGACTTCCATATCAGAAAATAGTACAAAGGGTCTATTCCTTTTGTGAGCGCTTTCTAGTTCTTCCTTTCTTTGATCAAGAAGCTTGTTAGTATAAATCATTGTAATATTARTATATTGCTTTTGTTGTATCATATTACGCAGCGGGACCAATTAGACCAAACTTGCCACCTAGACTTCGAGCTCTTGGAATGCAGAGCGGTCGTATCCGTAACAACCAGATCCGTGCATCCTCAAACTGGGACCGTAACCACGGTGCCTTCTTGGCCAGACTTAACAGTCGTGCACGAGGAAGACTTCAAGGCGGTTGGTCAGCAAGACACAATAACCGAAATCAATACATTCAAGTGAGAGTTTGTGCATTTACTGCTAGATCTTTTTTCTCGTATAATGCATGATCTTTTTGACGACCTCAGAATCATTTACAAAGATTAATTTTGCGAATTGTAAAAATCATAAACTCGGAAATCAATCACATTACATTTACATATTATACGTCATTTTTAGGTAAAATTCAGAAGACCAAAGAAGGTAGTTGCCATAGCAACGCAAGGAAGACAGAACGCTGACCAGTGGGTGAAAACCTACTACATAACGTACAGTCTGGATGGTGTACACTTTGCTCCATTCTCTAAAGCTTCACGCATTGCTGTAAGTAAAGCATTGTGCACTTGGTTAATTTTAATATGGTGTAGTGGATTAATATATTATACTATGATAGACCGTTGAACGGTTCATGAACGGTTGATGTAAATTAACTAGTAAGACTGAAAATAGACCATATCGTTCCCCCCCCCTCCCCACCCCCAATGTAAAATCTCTAAACAACGCATGTCGAGCAAAATACTGTGATATATGATTCCTTGTTATTACCTCTGACAACAGCCTAAACAAAAACAAAAAAATGTTTGTATCTGGTCCGTATGGGGCTCGAACCCATGACCTTAGCGTTATTAGCACCACGCTCTGCCGACTGAGCTAACGGACCTTTTTTTGTGATTTTATTAAATATATCTTATTGATATTCATAATAGCATTTTTCACGGTTACGAAAAATAGATTTCGCAAAGCCTTGTGGGTTCTAAATGCGGACAAATATTGCACATGAAGACTTTGATTACGTGGAAAAGTAGAATAATATCAGTCGAAAAACCATTGTTCTTTCTTGAATTGAAAATTAGCAAGACTACAAAACTTTGTTGCAGCATGTTAGTATGTGCGTTGATCTTGGCTTGTCCGCATGTAAATCCCATGATGCACAATTGTGACGTCATCCATAGGGAACACTATTCTGCTCAATGTCTCTTAGGGAAGGTCTGCTGTTTCACAATCAAACTTCGAAAGGTCTCATATCATAAAGCTGAAAGGTCTTCTCTTATCATAAAACTGAAAGTGTTACCAGGAAAATTAGCGTTTTGAAAAACGTTTTGGTAATTAGCAAAACTTGGTTCTTTTTAAAAATTGAACTCCAAAATGTAGCCTGTCACAAACACGTTCTGTGAGAAGTACATTTTCTTTTGTAAATTACCATCCTTTTATGTTATGTGACCAAAATCTAAAACTTATCTGGTCCGTATGGGGTTCGAACCCATRACCTTAGCGTTATTAGCACCACGCTCTGCCGACTGAGCTAACGGACCATATTTTTGATCTCAGTAGTTAGGCAACACATCTTAATATTTGTCTAAAATATTCAATTCTTTTACGTTTTTCTTCACAGGTGTTTAATGCTAATCGCAATCGCAACTCCGTCAAACTTAACAAATTTAATCCTGCCATATATGCAATAGCTGTTCGTGTTCATCCAGTCAGCTGGCATCGTCACATTTCATTGAGAATGGAGTTGTATGGAAGAAATGCAAGTACGTAATTTCTACTAATTGAACCATTATTATGACCATATTGAAGACTGGTTTCATGTATTTAYAAAAACATTGCAAATATATCTTCTGATGCACTGTACACAGAAGCGATATATTTAGTTCCTGATTTTTTTTTCATTTTAAACTCCAAAGATATAAGATACCTACCACTTGGTGTAGAAGATCGACGCATACCAGACAGAGCTCTATCCGCTTCAACATCTTGGGATGTCAAACACGGAGCATCAAACGCAAGACTCAATTTTGTTCGACGACGACATAGAACAGGAGCGTGGTCTGCTAGACACAACCGACGAGGACAGTGGCTTCAGGTTGATATCGGAAGTCTTGCCCGAGTTACCGGTATTGCTACCCAAGGACGACAAGACGCAAGTCAATGGGTGACGAGCTTCTACATAACGTATAGTAGGGATGGATTGAGATTTAAAACATTCACAGTTGGAAGACGAACAACGGTTAGTGTTGTTTTTTGTTTACACCTATTTTCCATAGACGGCTCTAGACGCCTAGAATTTTGGTCGATTTGGCTTTTTGGGGGTTTGCTTTCGACAGTCAATGTTAGCACCACGGGCCGAACATAAAAAAATTTCCGCTCAGCCAATCAGAGACAATTGTTCCAACCCCTGGAATGGACAAAATATTTCAATTTCAATTATAAACGCAATCGAAATTTTAAAAAGTTTAAGAAAAATGCTATTCGATAAATATGTTTGAGTTTCTTTTCATACCTGATTTAAAGGCTATCGAATTTCTCCCCAATTAGGAAGAACTATTCACGCTTTTAAAATTCTTCTAGATAATCGGAGCCCGGTTGTACAAAGGTTGGATGGCGCTAATCCAAAGTATAAATCTTATCCAGGGGATAAAATTATTGGTAACAACATCTTCTTATCCCTTGAATATAATAAGGATTTATTCATCGGACAGCTCATCCTTCCAAGAAGTCAAAAAAGACGAATAGAAACGTCTAGGTCGCGTATTTTTGAAAATGGGTGTAATTGTATTGCAGGTTACAGTTATTTAAAGATGATTTCCGTATACTTTTACTTTGATGTTATTATGCCTGATTTTWAAAATGGTGGTCCATATGGGGCTCGAACCCATGACCTTAGCGTTATTAGCACCACGCTCTGCTGACTGAGCTAACGGACCAACTTACAACTTAATACATTTTAGTTTTTGAACCAATTTGGTTCCATTATTACTAAAAGAAACACGAAGTTATACAAAAATGAAAAATGTATCTGGTCCGTATGGGGCTCGAACCCATGACCTTAGCGTTATTAGCACCACGCTCTGCYGACTGAGCTAACGGACCAGCTGTTGACTTTATTCTAAATTCATAAACGACGAAGAAAATTAAAAGCTGATGGTGTGTAACAGACGTTTTTAAATGTGTCATTCCATTGACAAAACTATACTTTGTTTGAGTTGTTCTCAAATAATTCAAGTGCAACCGTTAAACAAAATTACAWCTAATTGGGTCCGTTAGCTCAGTCGGCAGAGCGTGGTGCTAATAACGCTAAGGTCATGGGTTCGAGCCCCATACGGACCAGATACATTTTTTTTATTTTCAGGAATAAGATTGCATTTTACACCCCTTTACTATTTACGTTTACGACAATATTGCCATTTGAAAAAAAAAACACATTTTTTCTTATTGATTTGCTTGCTTGAGTTATCAAAATTAATCGATTAAATAAACATGCAAAAAATCAAAGTTATAACTATAAAAAAAACTTTTTTAATAATAATTCCATACTATGGTGGTGTCTTCCAAGTTTGCAGTTGTATAGTTGTGGTATCTTAGAACAGATGATAGGGATAAGATACTAATGTTYTTCTCAACCTTTTCATTAAAGGTCTTACGAGGCAACAGGAACAGGAACTCCATAGTCTTCAACAGGTTACGAAGGCCCTTCTCTGCTCGTTACGTTCGCATCTTCCCACAATCCTGGCATAGCCACATGTCTATGAGAGTCGAGTTGTATGGTCGCAGATATGGTGAGTGACAACCTTTTAGATACTCTTTATTTAGCAATGGATCTTTCCAACCAAGAAATTCAAGTTGATAATTATATTTTATGCCTATCGGATTGAAACAACAAAAGGAAGTGTACTATGATTTTGCCTTGATTGAGGAATTTCTAATGTTTACATTTATAAATTTAAAGCTCCACGCCCACGACCAGTCGCTTGCGGTATTTCCAATGGTCGCATACCAAACAGATACATCACAGCGTCGAGTCAATGGGACAGAAACCACGCCCCATGGCTTGCTCGTCTGCATCGTAAACGACGTGGACGTCAAGTTGGAGGATGGTCAGCTCGTACAAATAACAGGAGACAATGGATTCAGTATAATTTGAGATCACCAAAAAAGATCTACAAGGTTGTAACTCAAGGACGAAGCGATGCCAACCAGTGGGTTAAAAGCTTTGTCATCACGTATAGTCAAGACGGAAGACGATGGGCTACTTACACGTCAAGAGGGAGGCCAAAAGTAAATATTTTTTTATATAAATGGAATGCAAGCAGAAACCTATAAGGATAACGGGGTTGAAACGTATAACACTATAACCATGCTATGGAACATTCAGATATGCAAAATGAGTTTTTTTACCATATTTGAAATATATAAGCTTGCTCTGAGATGGCCGCTTCTCTCACACATCAAATTCGCATCAAACACCATTCTCGCCGCAATTCCTAACTTTCAGATAAGATTTATTGAAGAAACATTTGAAATATTTGACTTTAATTTTGTTTTGGGAATTTTGAGTCAGAAAACGTAATTCACTGGAAAGAAATTAGYCAAGAAAACAGTTTAATATTTCGGAGCATCGTACGAGAGAAAAGTATGGTTTTTACACGTTTCAACCACCGCAATGAGTTTCTGATGCAAGTGTATGCTGTTGTATTATATAAAGCGTTACAGGGGTTCTCAACAGGGGAAGGGAATGGGTATACAAAAWGCATTTAGTTGGTTTGTTAGATGATTGCTAAGGTATCTCCATTTCAAATAAAAATAAGAATCTATGCACACCTTTAGTATACTTGAGCCTCGCAACACCCCTGTCAAGGCAAGAAACGAGTTATAAATTTTTGAACTTGCTCATCATCTTAATGGAATCAATTGATTATCTTGTATTTGATCAAAGTGAAGATACATCTGTCTAATCATCAAGATATTCTTCATTTATTTTATTTTTTACTTTTCCATAAAGGTCTTCCCTGGCAATCGAGATCGTAACTCATTGATGGAAAATATCTTCAATCCCTCGTTTACGGCCACTTACGTACGAATCAACCCCAGGACATGGCAAGGCCACATTTCTTTGAGGGCTGAATTTTATGCTGTCAAAGCATGTAAGTTACGAACAGTCGTTAAGTCATGCCCTCTTGTATCCGAATAGAATTAAGATTGTAACGTACGGTCTGAAGTTTATTTGGTTGCATATTTATGGTTTTTGGTCCGTTGTTTGCAAATCTGTCTCTGTCTGTCTGTCTGTCTGTCTGTATGTATGTTTGTAAAATTGTTGTTTTTCATGTTTAAGTTCGCCTTCACTTGTCAGGTTTTTTATTCGTTTTAAACATGAAATTTAGACTTTGCTATCAACTAAGCACCGTGAAACCTTGAGTCTCTTGAATCAGGGCCAAACATTCACAAAATATATACTTTATTTCCAGCTATTAACAAGGTTCCTATTGGTGTTGAGGATGGCAAGATTCCTAACTCTGCTTTCAGTGCATCATCTCAATGGGATCGTTACCATGGACCTCATCTTGCCCGACTTAACAACGTTAGACGAGGACGAAATGTTGGTGGATGGTCTGCCAGGAAAAACAACAGACGACAATGGATTCAAGTTGATATTGGAAGGAGGACAATCATCAGTAAAATTCTTACTCAGGGTCGTCAAGATGCGAACCAGTGGGTCAAGACATACACTGTGGCTTACAGCAACAATGGAAGGCGCTTCACGACATACAAAGTCCGTCGACGCGTCAGGGTAAGTGCATTAAAAGTCATTTTTTTTAATATTAAAATTCCCGATGACGTTCTGACAAGGCGGGAGAGGAAACAAATCCCACTTATACTTGACAGCACACTAAGTATTTCCCGATGACGGTTTTCAGGTATTCCTTGGAAATAGTGATAGACACACCATCGTGGTTCGTAAACTCCGCCCCGTCATCCGAGCTCGTTTCGTAAGGATCATTCCAAGAACTTGGCACGCGCATATTTCACTCAGATTTGGATTAATTGGAAGACGACCAAGTAAGTCTTTTTTCATTCATATCATGTCACTACCTTTTGGTTTTCATGTGCGTATCATAGAATGTGCTTTCAGTTAATGCTCTTGTAATCAATGCAATCTTAATTCTTAGGAATAAAATATTTTTCGCAAGAATACCTTTAACTATTGTTATCAAAATGTTGCTAGACATTTATTTTGAAATGCATTCGTATTCTTGATTGTCCTTGTTTTCTTAACTCCTGATAATGAGGTTGTCTTTGATTTTTTACTTATAAGCAAGATCATACATTGATTTTCAAGTTATTCTTTGTTATAGCTGGCGGTTATATAGTTAGACCTACAAGAAGACCCACCAGAAGACCAACAAGAAGACCAGGTAAATTACATGAACTACGCCACAATCTAAAATGAGACAGTAGTATATGGTTTCCATATTAGAATATGTATATTGATTTTTAATTATAATTTCAACAGTTTACACTAAGCTCAAGCACTGTCCAGTTACTCTGGATCTTGGTTTCCTTATCGATGGATCAAGCACCGTTGGACGACGAAACTTCCACTTGGTGAAACTCTTCCTCAGGAAAATCACAAGCACTTTTACCWTCACAAAACACCAAACACACGTTGGTCTTGTAACCTACTCCAATDGAGCTGACGTAGGAATGAGGTACGTCGACATCTACGCGTGAAACCACATCCATGAAGATGTTCCGGGAAACAATGTTTTTGTTTTGGGAAATCAAACCGAAAAGAGTTAGTCTTATCAGTAGGGTACCTCTTCCTTTATGTAGACGGCATCTGTGTAACAGCATGATCGCGTTTTGCATTTTATGGATGTACTGATAAGAGCCAGTAACATTATTGTGAATTACGATTTATACATGTGGAATTGAAAGAAAAAAATACCCACTTTAGTCTTCAACTGATCAAAGTAGACAGAGAAGAATATGAATTAACATTTGGAAATTTTTCTTGGTGGCCTCATTTTATACGTACGGGAAAATATTTGGCTCTAGGTGATGCCGTACAAATGACCGAGAGCCAAATATTTTCCCATACGGTCCGACCTAACTCAGTCAATAAGCATTTTATCGTATGACCCTAAATAATAAATATATTATGTCTTGCTAGACGTAAGAAATTGAAGATTCTAGGAATCAGATCCTAGTTCTCTTTTATACAAAAGAATGGATTAATTTATCATAAATATWAGTACATAAAGGTGACATCCTAACGAATTTATAACTAAATCATTCTGATCAAAGGTTCCGTCAGTACAACCATCATACGACTGTTGACAGAGCAATGGCCTCAGCTCCCTATCCAAACCGGCGTGGAGAACGTCTTGACATCGGTCTGGAAACAGCTTACAATGTATTTTTCCGCAACGAGCCTGACTACATCCAGCGTACATTGGTGGTTGTGACATCAGGACGCCCTGATAGACGTTACTTTAGACGAATACGTCGAATAACAAGCATCATGGAGAGAAGGAAGGTCAAGATCTTTATCATAAGACTTGGATCGTACAGGAGAGGTATGTTGATAAATATTGAATGAAATGCAGTTTCGAGAACTTTATTCAAAAGATTTGAAATTTGGAATACTCAAGAATAGATGCCCAGGGAGAAAACGTATTTTATAAAATAAAATAAAAATAGTCAATTTTACGCTTAGGTATTTTACATATCGCTCCAACTAACAGCAAATTTTATTGGTTTTTAGTTGTTTTTCACGTAAAGTGATATAAAACGACACCCTGACAGCTGTGCTGTCTATAACTGATTTTTCAATATCTGCTCCCTCGGCATCCAATACCTTCTAACTGAAAGCAATAGAATTAAAGATGGCCGCCGTATCGGTAAAAAATGTCTATTAAACTAGATATACGCTATACGAACTGACCATTCCTTAATTGTTACACAAGAACATTGCTTTTGTATTAATGAGCTTCTCATGATATGCGAAAATCATTTATCATAAAGTTGATTAATTTGTGTTTCTTGTTATGTTCTTACAGGTGCACTTCTCGGAATGACGTACAAGGACAGACATGTCTACTACATTCCATCTTACAATGAACTTCTTGCTCGTGCTGGAAATCTCGCTGATGCTATTTGCAAGCAGCAAGTAAGTAGAAAAAACTATATATTTATCAATCAAATAGCGATTCTTCATGTTTGTGTGGTGTTAATTTCCCAACTATTTTCGCAAAAGCTCATCACAAGTCGCTTTGTGTCACCGGCCAATCGATCTATAGGTTGGGACTTAAATAATAAAAMTTTTTGTTGCATAAAGTTAGAACTATCGCTTTGAGCCATTCTTAGGTCGAGAGAAAACCTGGGTCGAGTTGGCATTGCATTGCACTGTAGTACTGTTTCATGGGACGAAATAGACGCCATCTTGGAATTACGTCCCATAAAACAACCCCACAATACACTGCAATCCCAACTTAACTCAATTTACCTCTCGACCTCGGAATGGCTAGTAGGGTGTAGAATGTATTACATAAAGAAACAGGGACAGTGCATTGCTTAACTAAACTGTTTATCACCGCATTATAATGGTGTAATCATATGGTGATCAATAAAAGAACATATCAGTAACTCTGTTACACACAGGTATTCTAGTTTCTTTCTTTATGTATAGAGGACACAAACGACAAGGGTTACCTCTTCGTCTAAACGACACCTTTGATATCGTGTGCGTGCGTGAAAAGATAGGGGGGTCAAGATAGTTTCCTTGGAGAGCTTGGAGAGGTCCCGGGAGGATCTGGCTGCTGAGGAGACTAGGCTCAAGAACCAAAAGATTATAAGTTAACATTGTCTGAAGATTAAATCTATTTGAAAAATGTCAAGAAACGCTTACTTAACTAAGCTTACCTTCTATTTTTCAGGAAAAGGAGACGGATATCTATAACATCAAGAGAATGGTTTTGCAAAGACCTCCTGTAATCGTGAGACCGCGAGAAAAGGAAAACGACACCTCCGTAAAACACTAACCACGGAAATTAAAAATGGACCGGACCACGGAATAAAAAACGACTGAAATACAACATTGTATCCGATGATGATTTTCCACTTTTTTACGGCTCTTATAGAGCTGAATCCAAAATAATTAATAACACATCTCTAATGTTTAGAGATATACTTAATTCAGTGAATTCAAGAAGATAATATTCTCAATAAAGTTCCACTAACATTTAAAAATACGCTTCTGTTGTCGTTGATATGACTAATGTTAACATATAAAGAAATTGTTCTTTCTTTACCCAAAAAGCAACTACCCCGTGATTAAACCGAGTTTCTGCACAGCGCGCCAGGAAAAATGGAGAAAAACATTGTAAACTCAAGAGAGTACCAAAAAGGAACCAAACTCTACTCATATGACCATACTTAATAGAGCTCCATTAACTATGATATATATATATGTATATTGGTGAGGGGTGTCGCATTATGTCATAATAAAGCGTGGCATTTATTTTTAAAAGTATACTAAATAAGGACCAAATTGATATTTTTCCCCTATGCGTTCATGATTCCTGTGTTCATGTGAAGAAAGTATCTTTTGCTGTTCGGATGCCAAACATGACACTATCAGTAAAAAAATATATTATTTTCATAACCTCTTTTTGGGCATTATAAACTAATTATGCTTTTCCACTTTTAATTCTTTTAAAACAATTACTTAAGTCAATGCTGGGCTACCTTTGTTTTGATTGATACAGAACCATCATTGAGTTATAGTCTGAGGCATTGGAAAAGGTATTTCTAAGAATCAAACTTCAAGTTTACTATTTGGCATTATTTGCCTTTGTTCTTGGACCAGACTTGCTTATACCACAGGGAGCCCGAATCCGGAGCGGGATTACAAAGTAATTTATGTAAACGCCGCGTAATTAGAGTCTTCGATCCGCGATCATTCTGGTTCGACTTCCAAGGTATGGTAGGTCCAGGATTTTTGGATCGATAATGCTTTAAGATCGTTCTATGCAACAATCTCTATCGAACGAATGTAACAAAGTCAGAAGTCCTATTGAAGTGTTAGTTGGTCTACCTGTGGTTCAATACCATAATACCTTGCGGGTTGCATTGCCTCGTGGTCATCATTCTGGTCGTAACTTGGAAATATGTAATTGTTGTCGCTCGACGAAATTTCTTTATTTCACCCACAATTCTGCAGGTATTTATTCTTCTATCAATTTGAAAATATACTTAAAGAAACTATTTATATATTTTTTAAGCATTAGGAGATTAATGACCTTATTTTTTCCACGATATTTCAGCGTTTAATTGACTAAAATGGCGCCGAGTGTTGGGGGAAAAGAAAATCTTAAAACTTCGAATCGAATGCCAGTAGAAGGAAAGATGATGCCAGTGTTTGATAATACAGGCTATAAAAAACCGTGAGGTATGAATTCTTAGACATTATTAGTACTGAAACGACGGTCTCGATGTTTCTTTAGTTTCATGTTTGAGATTTTCTTGGTTTTCACTACGTCATCAAGAATTTCAAAAGCATAAATTCGCATCATAATGAAATAAAAGTTTCATAACCCCTTGAAGCGGTCAAAATTACATATTCTGGCCAAATTTCGAGGCTGTAAATCATTTCGTTGCGGATGTATAGGTGAGTAAACATGACGCAATATTTGGTTAAAATGTATGGACGGGGCATGGAACGGCCATCTTGGTGTTCCAAGTTGGAACACCATCATGGCGGACGAAATTTCAAAGGCTTAAGGTGGAACCAAACTAATTCAGAGCAAATTTGAATAACCGCTGATCTTAGTTAATGCAGGCTTTATATTCAAGAAACACGTCACCGGAAAGAATACGTATTCCCTACATAGAGAACAGGCAGCCAAAGCACACAGCTATAGATTTTACGTAAAAACATTAAAAATAAATACAAAATCGTGTTGCTTTTTGGTAAAGCAGCAAATGACATCAAAAAAACCTCAAGATATCACATTATTTTTAAGTAAACACATTAACTTTATTATGGCGGATCAAAATACATAGTGGTATGCTTAAACAGGAATTAAATTCATACTTTAAATGAATTTGTTATAAATATCTTTTGTCAAAATCTATCAGGGGCCTTTAAAAATTGAACTTAATTATTCCATCTGCCACTGCAGGAGTCAAACATAGTTCATAAACCGCGGCCTTTCCTCGTCGTACATCCTCCCGGTATAAAATACCTACTGCGTCATCATCCTCGACCAACCACTGTAACTCGCCTTCGTACCATCCTGCTTTAAATGAAGTTCCTTTTAGGTCATTCTCTGTTCATAAAGCCATAACCTTTTGCCCTACTGAGAGCTGCGAACAGGCTATGATATTGTGTTGTTTATTTTCCATTTCAAATTCTTTTTTCTTTATCCGGTATCTTTTGATTTCGCTTTGATCTTTCTCTTGTGGCAGGTCTTTCTTCTATTTTTATCTTTTTCGCAATTGGCCAAGTAATTACTTACCGCGCTTTAATTATGAGAAAAAATAATAGGTAAATTTCGCCAGGCGTTCCTAGTTTGCAAACACAAAAGGGGACTGGTAGCRAATTCACAATATTAGGAAAATCACAGAGGTTCCTACGGTTTCATGTAGAAGTTTTAGGTATTTCAAGGAGTTAAAGGTACTTCAAAGCAGCTTTATCATGTTTACTTTGTTATTTACGTTGAACTATGGTGTAAAATGTTTAATATTATTGAATACAATATTATTGAATTTTAGGTTTTTGAGTCGTTTTTATACCTACGAAGCGTTCAAAAGACTTCGAAGATCAGCTGGTTCATCCACTATTTTCACGTAGATAATTCAAAATCAATTCTCCCACCATCCTTTGAAATAATTTTCCAGACCAAGATGACCCCCTTTCCTTCTGAATTCCAGGTCTCAGAAATCCCCCCTCTTCTTCGGAATTCCTGATCTAAGAAACCCCCMTCTCCTTCCGAATTCCAAAATATATTCCAAAAGTACATGGACATTCCAAAATTTCAAGTTAAATGAAAGACATCCATTGTAATTTTCACTAAACCTGATATCGTGTTGAATTATCTTTAGTTATCTTTCATTTGACAAGTAAAACCAACCAAAAAAGAAAAAAAATGTCAGCCATAGAGAACTTCGTGGAAGGATTTTTCGAGAACAAAACTAGCCCTCTGGGGTGGCTGGTGGTGGACCGTGTACACGTTACAAAAATCCTGTGCGGGAGAGTAGTAAGGTCGAAATTCGTTCTTGCCTGAGTCCTATGCAAGTAGCAACTTTGGCATAACATGGCAGAAAATTTTCTGCACGAAAATTTCACTCCTAGAAATCTTGGAGGAAGAGCAAAAAGAGTTTTAAATAAATGAATGCCCCATCGTAGGGAATATTTTGATCACGTTTTTTGTGGAGTTCGAGGTTTAAAGTGCCTATCACCCATTTTTTTTTACTTTTTGGACGAAAAGTATAATGCATGAGCTTAAAGAATCAACAAAAAAAATTAGAATATTACGCGTCTTTGTATTTTTTTTTTCTCGTAAGAATGTTGGAATTTTACTAAAATGGCAATTTCGGCCGAGCGCGGTTGGGGACTGGTACCTATGACGTAGCAGGAGTAACCGGGTTACTGTGATTGTTGTCTTGAAGCCACAACTGTGTGCTTTGCCTGTTGATCTTGAGATTATTAGAATTTATTTACTGTAAAAACTGAATCGAAAATGTCTACGACTTCTTCTTCATCCGACGAATGCTCTTTCTCTGACGATGACTCAGAATTTAACTATATTCCGGGATACTACGATGTTGATAACGAGAATCAAGCGTCGGACAACTTGTTGAGCAATGATGAAGATGAGGAGATTGATGATGTGGTTCAGCCRTATTCAAACGAGCCCATGGCCGACGAAGAGTGGCTTAGAGAATATAAGAAAAGACAGGAGGAGAAAGAACGTAGATTAGAAAGTTTGAAACACCGTTTAGCGGGGAAAGAAGAACTTAGCAACTGGTAAGATATACATGTATCGTAACCGAAGTCTGTGTCTTCGTTATTTCTGTAAAGATCACGATTGCACTAGGTGTGATGATCGATAATTTTTGCTGTGAAATTTGTAGGTGCTCTYGTGGAAAATGCTCTACAGCCTTCCTACAGAATGCGAACGAGTGCTACTGTTGTAAAGACATGGAAAAATGCAGCGATGCTCTTTCCGACGAGTGGGTACTCGAGGAAATGCAGACGCCACCGAACTGCATAACACTTCATCCAGCATTTGAAACTGTTTGTTTGGATAGATGGTCACTCAGGCTATCCGCCRGAAAATACAGAACTATAGATGGGAGAAGTTATCGACAAACCGGTTCGGAAGAAAAGTAAGTCAAGCGTCTTTGATTGTAGATAATCTAGCGCGAAGTTCAGGCTATAGCTTGTCATACTTGTACCGATAGTRTAAAGAATTCAGATATGAGCTAAATTTTATTGTTTGTGACCTTGAGTAGCTTTGTTTTATGAGCTCATTTTGTTTTCCCTTATCCTCAGTGTGCTTTTGCTAGCTTTATATGTACCTCTGTGACCTGTTTACACCATAAGTTGCCATGCCTGTGATCAAATATTTTTGGACTAAATGTTTCAGAACAGTTTCTCTATTTTTCTGAGGAAAAARTGCTTATTATTTTTTCACTATCAAGAGGAAGGTGCTGGCTAGCTCACTAGTAAAATATCTCTTTATTATTATTTTCAAAACCTGTGTAATAGAAAATTTGACGAATACACATTTCTAGTCTCTAATTCCAAGTTTTCTTTTGTGACTATTGCTTTGTCATCCTCATCATTATTATGTGTAAACATGAACAATATAATAAAAACATTCTTTGCAGACATTATTTATAGAAATAAGAATTTCAATAATATTCATAATAATTTATAATATTCATTAAGCGACTTGTTTCTTTGTTTTAGGTTCATGAGAAGTGTTGCTTACRGAGAATTTATACATCTGGTTTATGATCGTGTTGGAAAGAACAGAATACCACTTCCTGCATGTGCCTATCATGCAATAAGAAGCAAGTTTCAACCTAAAGACAGCRATGAATGTTTTGTTGGGTTTGAAGATGAGGATGAGGAAATGGATGATTAAATTAGAAAATTTCTACAACATAAAAATATAAATATCATGTAATGGTATTTCTT